TTTTGAGCAACCTACCTATTTAATTTCTTCTCTTTAGAAACTAGCATACAGATGAAAAAATAGCTAACAGGCTATTTTGAAGTGGAACTGGTGATGTTTATAGACTTCAATAGACACAGATGGATGAAAGGTTGGGGATGGATGAAAAGGGGGAAGGGAAGGGAGGGAAAGGGAAAGCAAGGGAAAGGACTCATGAATTTCGTTCTTTCTCCATCCAAATTTGAAACAACTTAAAATTCAAGTAATAGAGGAACCTTATATAAGCCATCAACATAATGTTAATTCTCAAATATTCATAGCTCCCACTTTTTGTGTCACAACAGAAGTACGCAAGGTCTTGCACTTTTGAGAGCAGAGATCATAGTGTCAGGAAATCAATAGTCATTCTCTTATAATGCAATAGGCTCAACAAATAATAAAAGATATGCCTTATTAAGGCAAAACATCCACTGTGTGAAACCTTTTAAACTGTTTTAGAAGAATTATACAACCAAGAGATAATGATTTCAGGTTGGGATTTTTTTTACCTGCTTCCAGGCAGTCATAATTGGTAAGTAATTCTTAATAGAAATCTAAGCCAAAATGATTGCTTGAAATCCTATGTAGCTTTTCACTCCAGCCCTTAGTGAGCTTATAAAATGCATCAATTGTTCCATTAGCCATACTTGTTCCTCTGCTCTTGTAACCATATGCCATAACAAAATAGAGAAGCTCTTCCCTACATTTCTCCATGCCTATTAAAGGAGATTTTATTACTTACATATTAATTAGAAATAATAATGCTAACTGACTTCCATTTGCCACAGCTGCCTTCATCTACTTCACATTAAGTCATAATTATCGTTCTTGTCTGCCTTCAGGAATCCTCCATTAACCACACCTATAGAACTGAATACTGATTGGGGAAGATACAACATAACTGTTTTAATAGTAATCACTGAGTCTAAGACAGTATTCTGCATTTTATATTATTCATTGCATTCCATTTCTGAAATGAGTACACGTGATAATTTTTGCTCTTGCTTTTGTCAGCTCCACACAACAATAACAGGAATGGTGTACTTGTGGGATTGCACTCAGCAACACACTGAAATGCTCGGACTTTACAGAGGTTTGCATCCAGAAGATTAAATAACAAATTAAGTAAAATAACAAAGTGCCTCAATATGTAAGGAAAGCAGATTGTTATGCTGATGTGTGAACTCACTGGAGTACATAGAGCTTCAGGACAAATTAAGACAGATTTTATTTCTTAAAATTTTAGCAGATGAAGCATCCAGCTTCAGTTCTTACAGCAAGTGCAGTATCTTACCAGCTCTGACTCATGCTACAAGGGCAATGCATTGGTTACTCCTTGTTTCTACCAGCATGTCAACTTAGGAAAGAAGCATTTCATGTTCTTTCATGTTTGCAAATCTAATAAAGAATTATATACCTTATGATAACCTGTATATTCCGATAATTTTCATGTAACAGTGCTCACAGAAATAAGGTCTAAGGTGTTTGTAGCGAAAGATGCTGTGGTTTTTCAGACATAAAACAGGCGTTTTCATGTAACTTATTTATGTTTATATTTATATTTAAATATTATGTGCATATTTAAATTTATGTGCTTCATTATGACAGTTGCATTTCGTTGTTTGTGAGGACTGCGAAGAAGGAGTTCCATATTCAAAGCTGGAGTTTATAAACTCCACACACAGTTTGTTATGAAAAACCACCTCTGTTGCTGATCAGAGTGCCAGGTCCCGGGAAGAGGCCTTTTCTGCCTCTAAAAAGAATTATTTAACTATTCAAAATATAATTAGGATCTGGCTACAATACAATTTAGTATAGCTTATACTCCAAGCTGGGCATGATTTAAAATATATTGATGACAGGTTTTAGTCAAATAAAAGAAAAAATTCAGTGCTGAAAATGGCAAGAGCAGAAATGTGTTTACGTATATTGAAAAGAAAAAAATAGGAAAAGAATGGGAAAAGGGAAAAGGGAAGAAAAACATTGCTACTTCATTTCCCAGTATAGTTGCTACATATACCCAAAAAAGCACACGTTTTCGCTCTGGTATAAATGTAAATGTCCGTTATTGGTAATGGAGAACAAGGCCATCTATATATGTTCCCAGTAGTATAGGATAATAGAAATATTGTTTCAAACCAGATGCACTACATAGATCTCCAGTCAACACAACAGTCAAATGTACAGGAGTGAAGGGTACTGTAATCATTCACATCGGCCTTCGTTCCTGTTCATCCAGGAGCATTATCATTAGTTTTTTGTATATTTAATTGATTGCTCTTCAAAGCTGAAGCATCTCCAATGGCATACTTTTCTGATTATAGAAAGAAAACTGTTATATTTGCAATCCCTAGATATAGTCTCTAAAATGAAACAGCACAGAGTCAAGTAGGCATAAAAATAAACACTACTCTAATCTTCTGAATACAGTTCCAAGTTGGTCTGCAGCATATGCTTTCAGAAATTATCTGTTCTTAGCTCTTTTAGGCTATTCTTACTAAATGAAACTAAGAAAATTGGAAACATTAGTGTATTTACGTGAAAATCCAAGAGTTTGACCAGCTATAAATCACAGGTCTCCTAATGATGACCAGCTATGAGCAAAGCATTTATATGTTTAACCTCAATTTGTCTTGCTATACAGACAGCAGTGTGAAAATACGTAATATATGAGGTAAAGAAAATTTAATTCATTAGACAAAAAATACTAAGTCAAGCAGATCACGCTGTGAGCTAAATTACAAAAGGCTCTTTCCCACTAGATTTTCATCCCTCTCTGCATGGAACCTTTCTCACTAGCAGCTATCTCCACCCACATACCAAACAGAATCACGTTCGTCTATTTCTTTACATAAGTTTCTAATAGATAATCAGATGCTTTATGCTTGCTTCTGCATAAGGCTACATTTCACTCAGAACATAAATCAGATTTTCATATGACAGTTTGTTTCAGGCTGTTACCTAATAATTTCTACTGCTGTCAGAAAGACTGTGGAGCAAGCAGATTTCATCAGGAGGATAACCTAAATTATTTCTTCAGGCTCTTCCAATCCTATTTTTCTACACTCCTACAAGTTTGGAAAGAATTTTTCTTCTGTAGCTGGAAACTGAAACAGTGCATTGCTTCATTACTTTAGTAGCAAAAATGGAGCCTGAACACCAGACCATCAAAGCTGACCATTAAACTCTATGACATACAACAGAGGAAATGTTCCATCCAACTCCCATGTGTTTAAGCTGGAATTCTTGAAAATCCTGGCATTGTTTTCTTTTACAGACAAGTCAGTTAGTATTAGGAAACCACAAAAGCCCAAACAACCACACAGTAATATGATCTGCAGTATATTTTTCACACTACACAATGAGTAAAGAGCACAAGCAGGACACATGAATGTTCTTTTGTGCAAGACCTTAGGCACACACAGAGAGTGGAACTGAGCTTGCAGATTGAATACCTAGGTTACTCAAGCAAGGTCTAGAATACTAATTTTATTATTTTGGAGAGCTTTCGTGCTCATATTCAATATGCTTTCCTTCTGCATAATTGAAATCCATATTAACACAAAGCTCATCCTCTCTGTGTCTTGATCTTTCATGAAATCACAGCTATGAGAAGCATCACTGCTCATTCTTTCATAACAGCACCATCGAGACATTGAAACTCCAAACACAGAGGCAGAATGTTTATCTTAGTTTGAGAGATAGTGCTAATTGCTCCTATTGCAGTGCTGTGACAACACAATCATATAATTGCCATTACTCAAGATTGTTATTTCAAATGATTCTACTCATTTACATAAGAAAATTTAGCAGTGCTAGCCGGGGATCTCAGAATGGTTCTGTACTGCATGAGATAAATGGTTAATAGTCTAGCTCTTCATAAGGCATGGTAATATTCACTACATTGTAAAACTGAAACCCCAGACAACACTAACTAAAATATTACAGCACTTAGATTAAGTTATTATGAGTGAAGACACATACCCTAGGAAGAGATAACGGGATGGAGCCATTCAGAAAATACACTGTTGTTCTGAATGTGATAACAGTAGCCATTCGATACAGAATCACACAGAATCACAGAATCACAGAATCACAGAATCACAGAATCACCCGGGTTGGAAGGGACCTCAAGGATCATGTAGTTCCAACCCCCCTGCCTAGCAGGGCCACCAAACACACACATTCAGATCAGGTTGCCCAGGACCCCGTCCAACCTGGCCTTAAACACATCCAAGGACGGGGCATCCACAATCTCCCTGGGCAGCCCGTTCCAGGGCCTAACCACTCTCCTTGTATAGAACTTCCCCCTAACATCCAACCTAAATCTTCCCTCCTTCAACTTGGATCCATTTCCCCTAGTCCTGCTGTTGTCAGCCCTTTTGAAGAGTTTACTCCCCTCCTGGGTGTAGGTTCCCTTCAGGTATTGATAGGCTGCCATGAGGTCACCCCGCAGCCTTCTCTTCTCCAGGCTGAACAAGCCCAACTCCCTCAGCCTGTCCTCATAGGGGAGGTGCTCCAGCCCCCTGATCATCTTAGTCGCCCTCCTCTGGACCCTTTCCAAAATCTCAATGTCTTTCTTGTACTGAGGGCTCCACACCTGGACACAGTACTCCAGATGGGGCCTCACAAGAGCCGAGTAGAGAGGGACAATCACCTCCCTGTCCCTGCTGACCACCCCTCTCCTGATGGAGCCCAGGATCCCATTTGCCTTTCGAGCTGCCAGAGCGCACTGCTGGCTCATGTTCAGTCTCTCGTCCATCAGGACCCCCAGGTCCTTCTCTGCCGAGCTGCTCTCAAGGACCACTCCTCCCAGCCTATTTTCTATGAAATAAACTGAAACCCAGTAAATACAGAAAATCCACAGTACTATACACGATAGATAGGCTTCTACAAAAGCATTAAAAATTCCTTCATCAATAGAAGACAAACAATCATTCATGAGAGACTGACATTACAATATCAAAGCAAGCATCACTCACCATAGCCTTCAATTAGCAAGGCTTCGTTCCTTTGGTACCCAGTACAGTATGTTTACAGTTAGAGCTGAGCATGGTCTACCCTCTGCCTCTCAAGCTCTGAAAAACAAACAAATAAACAAACAAGTAAATGAATAAATAAATAAACTGTCTTTAAGCAAAAGAAAAATTCAAGAAAGTTTCTAAAGAAAATCTAGAAAATAAAACATTTTGATCTAATAGGCTCCCTATAACTGCTACCAAAGCCATATGAATTTCAAAACTCCAAGAGCAAAGAGAGAAAATGTTAATGAAAGAAAATCACAAGACTTCCTACTAACCCATATACCTCTGGCATAATGTGCAACATCCGTCTTTGTTTTCCAAGAATTCATACTAATGCAATACTAAAACTATAGAGTTGTGGACAGATAGATAAAGCTCTACCAGGTTTTATTACACTGTACAGACACAATGAAGAATATCACAACTGCCACACACTTCTTCATGCCCCTCTCTTAATGTAGACAGCTCTAATACATAAACCAGCCCGCCCTAGCTGGCATACTTCAAAAACTCTATATCACAATTTATTGCTTTTGTGTTATTGTTAAATGTATAAAGAGTCTATTTAGAAAACTGTAGCAAGACGCAAAAAGCTTCTTCCCAGAAAGGAAACTGTATAGTCAGAACATTTTGTTGCTTCTAGAAAGAAGATAGTTATGAATAATATGGTGAGGACTTTCAGAACATACTGCATCAATCAAGTTCTGCATGAGTAATTATAACAACGTTTTATAACACCATTAATTTTGTCTGCACAACATAACTCAGTTTTCTGAAATACAACACTTCTTCCCCACAGGACGAAAACCTTCAATATAAGTTCTTGGTAAACTACTGTAACTCTGAAGAGAACATCCAAGACGTAAATATTTGTTTTCTGGACTAGAATTTGAGGTCACAGAACGTATTGTCTGCAAAACTGGCTGATCTCCTACTGTGGCAAAGACTTTACAAACATGTAGAAGCTGTTAGGTGTAGTGAGGCATATGTCTCTAAGTATTAAAATCATTTTTCCTTCTGGTGGGAAGCCAACTCACTTCTTTGTCTTTATTGCTGCTCAGATGGGAATGAATCCATTTCTTACGGCTATATCCTCAGATATCAAATTAATTTTTCATTTGTCATGCTCATATCATAATGGACTAATAATTCCCCTGTGGAAGTCAACAGCCAGTGTATAGTTTAATTGCTACAAAAAATAATATTAATTATAAGGAAGGCTAAACTTCAAAAGGCACAAAGCTCGCAGGTCCCACAGACCAATACTAGATTCAGAAATGATTGCAGCGGTTCATATAGCAGTGATCAGTCCAGAATTTCATAGTAATACTGTGAAGAAAATGATAAGAAAGGTCAGAGGTTGCACAGACAAGTCATATAAAAGAAAATAATAGATGCAGACAGAAAATTGGAAGGAGAGGTAGAAATGAGATAGGGACAAGTTACTTGAATAGGGACTAGTTACTTGGAGTAATGACAAGTCAGACATGGTATCAGAAACGTGAGACTGATACCAGGAACAGCATCTCCCTAAGACAGGCTGTAGGATGGCAGTCTTACAATGAATGCTCAATTTTCTGAAATAAGTTTGCTTTTGCTTACTTTACGTGCGTCTGTGTAACCACACAAGAAGTGTGGTCAGGTTGACTAATAGGCGTTCAAGATACTTGTGAAATTAAATTCCTTTTTAATGAGAAGTCATATTATGAAGTTTTCTGTAAATCTGTAGTTAAACCAGCTCTGTTCTAATAATTCCACTGGAGTTAACAAAAAACATTTGATGAAACAAGAAAGTTTTTTTCTTATTATTCCCAGGGAGCTGATACTAATTTGAATGACATATATAAGATGGTAAAGAAACAGACTTAGAATGGCAAGGCATTCTGTTTCGCTATAATGTTCATAACCTTGAAAGAAAATAAAATAATAAACAGGATTATTCAGAATTCCTCAAGTATTTATTCTTTATTTCTATTCCATCCGATCCATTCACAAGCATCCTTGCTTCTCCCCTCTTACTTACTTACCCCCAAGGTACAGCTGGCCACTAAAATTACATACCAAGGAAAATGCACTTGTACATATTGCAGCCTTTTCACTTTTTATGTGTACTATATCTGAGCATGTGTAGATTTGGTATATTCAAAACACACAGATGTATTTGTACCAACTATAGTCACCAGCTTTCAGTTCTAATACTTGTTAGTATTAGTTTCCAAACACAATTTCCTAATTAAAAAGGAAATAAGACTTTAACAAGATTCATTTCTGTTCTTTGTATTTGTTACTTAAATTTTGACAAAGTGCCACAATAAATTTTAGCATGAAAATTTATAAACAGAAATGTCAAACCAGTGATGATCTAAACTGCAGTTTGTAAGCATCTTTTGCACTACTTTGATTGCAGTTGCCTATTAAGCACCTTCCAAATGAGATATATTTGTCCATGTTCTACAACTAGTACTAGAATAATCATTCTAGTGGTACTAATTGGACTGAGACAACCACTGAACTTCCTCTCTGAGCCCTGCCCAGACCAATTAACAGCTGGTTTCCTGCAAGAAAGACTGCCAGACAGACATTCTAGGCAAACAGGCGTGTGTTCATTCAAGGTATCCTCCCAGCACAGTGACACAGTCTTCAGATCTAATGATACTGAGCCTCACTTCTGCATTCTATCTAAAATAATAGAAAGGAAAAGATGTATCAAATTGTAAAAAATGGATAAATAAAGGCCAGCAACTTAGCTTACCATGATATTCACTCTTTCCTAGGTTACTTGAATAAGAGTTTGACAGGTAAAATTGCATATAATTGTGTTTATTTGTATAAAATTGCCAGAAAAAACCTTGACATTCCCAGTCTGCCTCATTTCTCACTTAGTCCATCGAAAGCACTTCTATTTTTTGTCTCCATGGCAATTCACTTTGCTTTTAACTGCAAGGTGATTACATTATTTCCAGCCTTATGTGTGTAAGAGAAGACAGTTTTGAAAGTAGAAAATCCTTCTGCCGAGAAAATTAAACAAATCACATTTTATTTACAAAAACTAATGTTTTTTCTGTCCCTGTTTATAGTTTCTTTGGCTCTACTGGCAAGATGCTCCATATGAATTCTAACTCCCAGTTTTGCAGGTAATCTACTAAGAAAGGTTACACTGACAAATACATCCACTGTATATTGAAAACACACCTGGGGTTTGAATAAAATGTATCCATAATGCTAAAGGAACAGCTTTCATCCTTACTGAACTAGGTAGTTTTTAATTACTTGTAACAGCAAGTAATAAAATGGTGCTAATTCCACCCATTTGCAGAGTGAATTGCAGGAGTAGGCCACAATGTTCCACCTCCAAACAAGTATTAATGCTACCTTAGTAGTTTTAATTCACTGTCCTTCACACAAGAATAGTTCATTATTAGTTCATTTCATTCACCAGATTAGTTAGTGATGGAATAATAGCAGTAGAGATTCTAGGAGATGGAGTAGAATTCAGTACAGACAATTGCACCTAAATCAGAAAGTAATCGCAAGCAGAACTGCGAGTAATTTCTTAGCCTAGCAGATTTATAGAAATCTCTGCCCAGTAACACGGAGAAACGAAGCCACTTCAAGCAGCACAGTTAAATGTACAATTTTACCCTTTGAACCCATAATCCTTCCAATTTCAGTGTATTCTCAAGCAGATGGAAATTCTCCTGATGAGATTTTTCCTTCCACCATGTAGAAGTCCCTCACACCAAAATCAGGTAGCTTCTTTCCTGTTACTCACTGTTCCATTCCTGCAGGGTTAGGAGATTTTACATTCCAGGGCATAGCTTTAATTAAGAACATCCTTTTAAAAGATAGCATTGCAGCATCTTCACAAAACTGGGTGGGGTTTGATCAGATATGATTAATTTTGAAGAAGTGTTTGCAAATTATGTGCACCTATGATTATTAAAATTATGAAATGTCTTATTAAAATGAAAGTTTTGGTTTTTTGACATTCATACCAACCTTTAGTCACATGCTTTGACAGAAGGAACCAAAGGCTGGCACTTCAGTATTTGAACTTAAACAAAAATACAATCTGAAACCATACATCTGATTTAAAAAGTACAGATAATAGAGATATTTTTTTAAGTATTTGTTCTATCTTCCAACTTCAACATTTGTGCCTAAACCTGCATTCCATGATTTCATAACTAGGTCTTCCTTGTATAAATAATGAATAGATCTCTTTTTAAATTACTTAATGGTAAATGGACGGAAATTCTCTCTCTTCTCTGGTTTACATTTTTCTGAATACAATTGTTTGTTAAAGCAGTCACTACCTCAGCTGCAGGAACAAGCTGAACATGACTGAACATCTACTGCAACAGACTGATTTTTGATGACTTCGTTCTCTGGATAATGGGTCAAATTAATATCACTAACTTCTTCCTTTATTTGATTTTTTTTCCCCTAGAGTTAGATGGAGAATCATAATTTACTCACGGCTTACTCAAAAGATCTCTCAGATTACAAGGTATTGGCTTTTGAATTTTGTATGTATAAAAATCGCAAACCAAACTTTGCTTGCGGTTGCAAATGTGAAGTTGCATTATTGAGTTAGGAAATTGAACCAGAAAGAGACTGTGTGACTCGATATCTTGTGCAAGAAGTGGCACACCCTGTGGGTTTTTTGCATGTAAAAATGCACCTCAGCTGTGTTAAGCTTAAACATAAAAGTAGTTTGAAAATGCTGAAGTTACAGTGAACAGCATGTGCTAGGTCTACAGCATTAGTCCTGGGGATAAAATCTGCTTTGGAAAAAACCAAAAACTGTAACAAAAATGTTATCGAGACAAAATGATTTTTTAAAAGAAAATTCAAAAATATCTGAGTCTATTAACTGTTAGGAATAATCTTCAATGCAGTAAAAAAAAGAAAAAAAGAAAAAAAGAAAAAAGAAAAAAAAAAAAAAAAAAAAGAAAGAAAAGAAAAAAGAGAAGCCAAAGGAAAATTACTGATGTAAGAGCAAAATGAAGATGGCTACCATTTTATGCC